ATATATATATATATATATACACACGAAACCAGTTCTATTAATCTGTTTCTGAAAACGGAATCTATCGATCCATCACTTTACTCCAACATGATTAATCGACCTTTGTCCGATAGTGAAGATTGTTGCCTCGAAATTCTTGTACATCTTCTATAAAGGCGCAAATTGTATCGTTCGAAGCAATCAATCCGCCGAATTGAAACACGAAAATGGTCCTTTTATCGGGGAATTCCCTTAGCTTCCAAGACACTGTATCCTACTTGATACGAGAGAGAATCCGCGTAGAGATTAGATATCCAATCGCAACGCGGAGATTAGGTGCCCGGTCTTCCCTATCAATCACGAACGACGGAATCCTCCGTAACTTGGAACGTCCGGTTCGACGAGAAAAAGACCGTCACTCGTACCTGGAACGCTCAATGATGTCACAGTCCGTCCGCGCGTGCTCGCGTTTATCCTGCGGACAGTCGCGAGAGAGAGAGAGAGAGAGAGAGAGAGAGAGAGAGAGAGAGAGAGAGAGAGAGAGTCCTTGACAGTCTTATACATGTTGAAGAGAAAGAGAAATTGTGTGCGTGCGTGTGTATGTGTGTGTGTGTGTATGTGTCTCTATCCTTATCGCGCAGAACGAACAAGGAACGAAGGAATCTACTCGCGCCGTTCTGAGTCTTCGTGAATCCTTCAAGGATGTAACTCGCCGCCGCGAAGTCATCCGACGATCATCGCGCGGCGAAGATGCACCACGATGAAAATGCACATCGGAGGCAGCCGGACGGTGAGAACGAAAGAAAGGATTAACCAGGAGGAGGTCGTTGGACTCCTTGAAGCGAGGGTGTCGAGTGGTGTCTCTGCGAAAAAAACGAAACGAAGCGACGACGGGTTTCGAGCAGTGACGTAGCTTTCGCGACTGGAGGCTGCTGCGATGAAAGCGAATTTACCTGTGCCTGCGTGCCAGTAACACGGCGATGCACGTCCGAATGATCACGAAGCAACACCGGGTTACCGCTGAAGCTCCTTTCGCACGAGCCACTATATCCACGCGAATTAGTATTCCTGAAATATTTCTGGAAGAAATTATCATCTTGGAAAAAAAACCTTTCTCTCCCTTCTTTCCAATCTCTGTGCGGAGGAGATTAAAGCGAGAAAGTGACTCGTGCGAGAAGGAATTCAGCGATGCGAAGAAAGTTCTCCTCCGGATACGCACGAAACTTACGCCACCGAAGAATCCAGTAATCTCGCGAGAGTTTAAGTAATTATTGTAAATATCCGTCGCGCAGGCGATGATATATAACAGAGGAGAGATATTCTACATAAATACATAGTTATATACATAAACACATTATATATTTTTTTTTTTCGTGAAGAAGCGCACAGATGGACGCGTCGTCGCTGCGGACGATAATAAATTATTGTTATTGATAATATATTACTACTATTATTATTATCGTCATCGCCACTCTTGTTAGTATTACTGTTATCATTGGAAGGCATCATTGGTTTGGTGATATACTGTATATTGTATGGCGGAAATGCGAAACCTTTCGAGGACCGGGCTTCGAGCGAGAAGGATTCAAATTGCCGAGGCTCAAGGGTTTTTTCTCTCCTTGTTTATATTCATACATACGGGTTGATCGTTCTTCGTGGTGACATTAGAGGCGGAATTAGCCACCTCGCGGCGTTCTGATTGTTACTTAAGGAGAGATAAAGAAAGAAAGAGAGAGAGAGAGAAAGAGAGAAAGACAGCTATCTTTCCTCGCTTCGTTGATTGTAACTCTTCTTGGCTTTTTCTCGACTAAGACTGACGAGAGTTCTCATAGCGATAAGGTAATTAATATCTGACCGTAGACATCGTTAAACGACTAACCATCACGAGCACAGTCTCATCCATAGACTTTCCCTTAGAGAAATATAATTTAATAATGAAAATTATTTATTCTGACTATTAAAAGCACTGAACAACTTTATCACTCAAAAATAAATAATTAATCACTTCTTTTTAGTATTAAATTTCAATAAGTTATATAATAGATTGCGCGTTTCCATTAGAGACGTGAAGACAACATTAGTAAGAGAGAGTAATAATTGGTTCCAAATGCTTTCCTTGTTTACGATGTATAACAAAGAGAGTAACAAACCATTCATATCTCTATTTTTTATATGTTGTCCAGCTGTCACATATAAATGCGTAGTCTATTATGAGTTTTTTGTGTTTTTCAGCATTAAAAACACAGTATAATGCAATGAATCATTACATCCTTGTTACTTGCTAAACAAGAATGAAATAATTCACTGTGTTACACTTCCTTGCTGGAAAACGCCATGTATAAGTCTATGGTCTCATCTTTTCGCAAGAGAGATCTCGTTTTCCGGTCGTTTCACATCTCCAAAGATCGACTCTAGACTTGCTTGAAACCACATAAGACATAATAAAAATAAACTATGCATTCCCGAGGTTGTCATTATTAATTTAAAAGAAACGAGCTTGAAGCATATCGCTCTTCTCTCGCTCTCTCTTTAAAATATCGATTTGAAGAGAGATGCTGAAGAGTTTTTTTTTTGAAAGGAGATGCTGATATATTCAATTCTTTTAACAAGCTAAGAACAGGGAATGCTTAGTATATATCCGTTACGTCTATGTTCGAAATGGACGCAAGTGATAATATCGTTCAGTGTCACAAGCCGAAGTTGGATTTGCGAAACTCCTCCAATGTCGTTTCGTACTCGAGGTAAAACGCAGCGGACGGAGTTGTCGAGGCGCGACTTTGGCTACTTTCTCGTTACGGTTTTGCTCCCGACGTTATTATCGTGTGTTGACACTTCTAGTGATATTACGCCCCCCGCGTTTCCCGAACTTTTCTATTTCTCTTTTTCCCTCCGGTACTTATTTGTCATTCTTTTGCCTCCATTCTCGTCGCAGCCCGCGCGTTCTTCGTCTCACGTCTCACCGGATCGTCATTTCTCACCCTTATACTATTAAATACATAACTTAGCAATTAAGAGTTTTAACGACCCGCGATGCAAAAGTTTGTAGGAATCGCCGCCGATAGAACGCGAGATTTCTGGTCGACTTTAGCTCTCGGCATAAAAGTAAAGCTCGCGGCACTCGATGCTTATTTTTCTGCTTACGTTTTAGCAAATTACTAGAAATTCTGCATTCTGTGTGATGAATTCTAGTAATTTAAAATCCAGCAGGAAAACGAGCATCGTATACCGTAGGTTTTAAGATAAGTAAGAATTCGCGCGACGCGAGTTCCTGTCGGTGCTGACAAGCTAATCACGCGCCGATGGGAATCATCGTCACAAACAGTGTGTCTGTGTATATATATGTATATCATTATGTACATTATATCTGTTACATATTATGTACATACGTATATGTATATATATATATATATATATATATTTATTTATTTATTTAAAAAGAGGGTATTTTTCCATGCCCGATAAAATTGCTCCGTACATACACATCGCTCGCGTCATCCTAATCGGTACACGTATGATATGTACATATCGATGCGGACGTTCTGATTACATCGGTACGTATATAGATACGTCTATCAATTGCCCATCCTGTAATTAAAGCTCATCATTTTTAATGTATGTGAACTATTGTCGTGGCGTGTAATATTCGTACTTGTATAAAGGCAATCGCCCGCGCTGACGCTCCAATCGTTCTCGCTCGAATCGTCCACGTTGGAGCATATTCTTAAGAACGAATTTCATTATTTTCTTCGAAAAACGATGACAAACCTTGCATATTTCTAATGTACGCCGACAGCTCTGTACGAATAAAGGTTTGGAAGTAATTTCACTGTCCTACCTTCATTCCGTCGTGACCCTTTTCAAAAGGTTTCTTTATTTGATTTAGCAGCTCTGACTGTTATCTGTTAAGAAAAAGATCTTGCTTGTTCTTAAATACGATTCCATTTACATTTAATTTTTGTTTATAATTAATAAGAGAAATGAATCTTTAAATTAACATTACGTGAAATGAAATGAATTCAATTTGATAGTAAAACTGTAAATTTGATATAAATTATAATGTAAATTGCATTTGCACTTTTTAAAAAATTAGAATATTAATTTATTAACGTATAGACAATTAATACAGAAACGAATTCAATGAGAAATCTCTTATATAAATGTTTAAAGAAATTGAAGCATTATTCATAAGGTGAAAGTGTTAAATAGAGAAGCAAGACTCGTTTAAATAAGTTAGTCAGTAAAAATTTGGTGTCGTCGCAAGCACACTTTACACGTGATCTACATATTTATGCGCCTTACTTATTTTTGCTGTCATAAAATAATTTTAGAATATGCTTTGCGAAGACGATACGGCCACTGGCTCATAAATTTCCTAGCCGGAGTAAATAAATTTTCTTCTGGTTAAAAAGTAGAAGTTAAAATAGTGCAGTTCGCGAATCGTATACCGCGGGCCAGCCGGAACTTATTACTACTTTGCATTGCAAATCTAAATTGTTTTCAGCGACTGGGGGATGATGCGGTCTTTGAGGATAAAGCGCAAGATACACGGCGCTATGTATGTAACATATTTCAATTTT